CCACGCTGTCTGTTGTACCTTTTAGTTGCAAATAAACTCACCCTCCACTTCAGCAGCCTGCAGTTTTGGATCCATTATTATTCACACGGCTTGCCCCGGCAAACCGTGACAAGATAGATCTCAAAGTCATCTCCAAAATAGTGAAAAAAGAAGAAAGTGAAGAAAGGTTGTACTGTGAGAAAACAGATCCCAGTGGCAACATATGCAGTGCAAACAAGGCAGGACCCAAACTAGAGCTTTGAGGTGCACCATAATTAAGGGGGGCTATTTTGGAGCTGTGATGGCCCATGTTGACATAAAAAGTCCTTCCAGATAAGGACCAAAACTACTGAAGAGCAAACGCTATTAGGCCATCATATGATTCCAGCTGTTATTGCAGGATATCATGGTCGACCACGTCAAAGGCTGCTGTCAGTTCCAACAACAAGAGGGCAGCAGCTTTAGAATTTGGGTGTTCACGCTGCAGCAGCTCTTTAAAATGTTTGGAAGAATTCAAACAGTCTGTTGTAAACCTGATCCCTTCACCTCAGCAACTTCAGACCAAAGGTCTCCAAAACTCTTGGAAATGGACTGAAGATCATCTAAATTGTGTGGCAAATGGAGAACAATGATAGTGTTTCTTCTATGCTTGTGTATTGATTGTGCAGTTATGTACAATCAGTTATGTAATTTAACAAAAAACAAATGTTTTTAGGGCCACAGAAAAGAGAAGACAAGCTTCACTGTTCCAGAAAAATCCACCTTTGCTTACGGCCTGGTGGAGATAAAGATAGAGGATGAGAAGCTGAGTAAGAGCACAACACTGTGTTGATTGCATGTGTGTGTGTTTGTGTGTGTGTTACTGAGTATAATTTCTGTCCTTTGCTCTCATTTAGAGATCTCGTGTGAACCCTGGACTCGAGGTGCCCTCGGTATGTTGCTGTGTGTGGTTGAAGTTGATGCCATGTTTGTCTTAATGTTCACATCAACATGAAGTCTTTCTCACTTTTAATAATCTTGAGGTCTGTTTTCAGATGGACTCTTTGGCGATGACATAGAGAGTGCGGTGCTACAACAGATTAAAGAAGGTGTGTCTGACAGTTTGAGCTTTTCCCTGTTCTGAATTAATCAGAGTGAAGCTTTTGGAGTTTGGGACCTACAGCACAAACTCTGCTTTAATTTATTGAGTGTGATCGTATCAGTTCTTCTATTTCTGTGTTTGCCGCAGAACTAAAGAAGAAGGATGCTTTTCTGCAGCCGCTGGCAGATCTTCCTGAGTCGGCCCATCATGATCTACTGAAGAAGCTCAGCGAGCTTGCTGAGGATGGGGATACTCTCTCTCTGCTGGAGCAAACAGTAAGAAGAATGTTTACAACATCTGAAGCTTCTTTGTGCTCATCATGAGGTTTCATCTCCCACTGATCTTAATTCTTCAACTGATTCTTCATCAGTTACTGCAAGGAACAAAAAGTCAAGAGATGGTTAAACAGGCAGTCACGTGAGAGTGAAGGTTCCACAAGAATAAACAAGCACCAGTCTAGCGGATTATCAGCAAAGGAGAGTGCCTGTATAAAAGCAAAGATTTTGGCAGTTTGCTGATCTGGTGCATTCAGGTGTGTTAACACAGTGCCACAGTTACCCTACCAGTGGACATCCCAGGTCAGACCATGTAACCTCAGATAAACTGCAACAAACCCAAGAGCTACATCTCAGACTCCACAGGCCTTAGGTTAAATGATTAAGTTCATGACAGCAAAATTAGAAAAAGAATGAACATGTGGGGTTTGTTCAGAAGGGTTGCCTGAAGAAAGCCTCTTCTTTCTAAAAAGAACGGAAAAGCTCAGCTTAGGTTTGCAAAGTTGTTTCTGAACAAACTCCAAGACTCCAAGAACACAGCTGAGATGTCTAAGCAGCTGAACAGAGTAAACTGTAAACTCCTCCATAACCAGAGTATTCAAGATTCAAATGTGAGGCCATCTGTCCCACAGCTAAAGCTTAGATCAAAACTAGGTCAATGATCAGAGCACATCAGCACATCTCTGAAAACTGTAAGAGTGGCAGGATCTTAAGAATCCTGTGCATAAATAAATCCTCACAAACCTCAGTGCACTAAGAAGAGTGAAGCAAAATTGCTCCACTTCAACGTGAGAAACTGATTAAAAGGATTGCTTAAAGTTATTGCTGCTTAATTATATTTCTAAAAGCTCTTTACTGATATTTCTCAGCTATTGGAACCATGGATGCTGCTGGTTATCAATCATGTATGCACAGGCCCAACAACCAATACTGACAACAGGCTTGGGGCTTTACAGACAGCAGGTACAGTTAGGGCCATATATTTGGACACTGGCACAAGTTTTTCTTTTACCCATTAACTGAAACATGTTACAATTATAGTTATATAACAGACATAAATGTAGACTCTCAGCTTTCATTTGAGGGTATACACATTACAAAAGTAATTGGACAGTTGACTCAAAGGCTACTTGATGTGCAGACGTGGGCAATTCCTTTGTTATGTCATTGTCAGTTAAGCAGATAAAAGGCCTTGAGATCATTTGAGGTGTGGTGCTTGCATTTTGACGATTTTGCTGCGAACAAACAAGGTGCGGCTCTTTATGCAGGTGCAACAAGCAATCCTTAAGCTGAAAAAACAGAAGAAAAAAACAATTGCTACAATATCAGGAGTGGCAAAAACTACAGTTTGGTACATCCTGAGAAAGATAGAAAGCACTCGTGAACTCAGCACCTGGACCTGGAGGTCCACAGAAGACAATAGTGGTGGATGATCACAGAATCATTTCCATGGGGAAGAGAAACCCCTTCATTTCATGTCTTGATGCATGCTCAATCATCCAGGTAAGGAAATCCCAAAAAGGGGATTCTGTTCACCTGGACATAGTGTTTTCAGTGGAAGAAACATTTTGTCACTCATCCAAGTGACTTCTTCACTCTCAGCTGGCTGCAGGTTTCCCCAATCTTATAAACAGTAAATTTGCACAATGACTGAAACTGGGCAGTGGGCTGTGAGGTCATAACCTCACAACATCCAGCCAACTGAACAACACCGTCTACCATAAAGAGAAGACTGAATGAAAGTAAATGCAAATGGTTCACTGCAAGGTCCAAGCCACTCATAAGACTCAAGAATAGAAAGGCTCAAAAAAACCAAACAAACACAGTCCTGGAAAAGTATTCTTTGAACAAGAAAAACGCATGCAGAAGGCGTGGAACAGCTCATGATCCAAAGCATACCACAACATCTGTAAAACACGATGGAGGCAGTGTGATGGTTTGGGTATGCATAGCTGCCGTGGGCACTGGGACACTAGTGTTTAATGATGATGTGACACAGGACAGAAGAAGCTGAATTAATTCTGAGGTCAGAGACATACTGTCTGCTCAAATCCAGCTAAATACAGTCAAATTAAATGGGCGGTTTTTAATAATACAGATTGACAATGAACCAAAACCTACACCCAAAGCAACCCAGGAGTTTATTCAAGCAAACAAGTGGAATATTCTTGAATGGCCTGGTCAGCCACCATATCTTAATCCAGCTGAGCATTTCACTTGTTGAAGACTAAACTTCAGACAGAAAGGCCCACAGACAAACAGAAATTGGATGCCGCTGCAGTAGAGGCCTGGCAGAGCATCAAAAAGCAGGAAACACAGCATGTCCATGAATTCAAGACCTCAGGCTGTCATTGCCAGCAAAGGTTTGTCAGCATTAGAGTATTAGAAATGAACATTTTATTTTCAGTTATTTAATTTGTCCAAATACTTAGTCTCTGAAATGGAGGGATTGAGTTAAAAATGGTTTAGTTCCTCACAATTTTATGCATCTTTTTGTTCAACCCACTGACTTAAAGCTGAAAGTCTGAACTTCAACTGCATCTAAGTTCTTTCATTTAAAATTCATTGTGGTAATGTACAGAACCAAAATTAGAAGAAAGTTGTCTCTGTCCAAACATTTATGGACATAACTGTAGTTTTATGTTCTCCATGACTAAACACCACCCTGCTCTGATACTACTACTAATAATCCTCTGCTTCTCTCAGTTGGATCACTGCAGTAATGGAGCATTTGAAGGCACTTTGTCTCAGGCTGTCTCCTCCTTCATGGACCTTCTCGATATTTCAAACATCTCCACTGCTGTGAAGGATGCTGTTCACCTGTTGGTCAGCGCGTTGGACAGTAAGTCAGCTGACCTGCTCTGAGACATTTATCCCATCCAGTAACATGTAGATGCTCCACATCAGGTGTGGTATGTGAGCTGGAGGTGGTGGGGCTGAGATAAAGGTGTTCAGGTGTGATTTGGGAGTGTGTGAGAGCTCAGCTCACAGTTTTATTGACACATCTGAAGCAAAGCGTTTCAGTTCATCACATCGTCATCAAACTTTGTCTTTCTTTTTCATGTTTGTGCAGCTCTGCCAGATGAAGTGCCGCCACTTCTGACCTGCTGCAGTCCAGACACTCTGAGAGTGCTCAACCAGCTGGTGGGTCCATTCACTCATTCATCTGCATTCATCTACATGCTCCTCTCAACAGCTGCCAGCCTCATCACACCGTATCCTACAGACTCAGCACACTGAGCATGTGTAATCTGACACCTTAAAGCATCGTCTGTCATGTTTTTGTAATGAAGAAGAATAAACTAAAACTAAACAGAAAATCCCACACATGTAAAAGCGCATCAGCAGCAGCTCCGCCCACTATCAGCAGCCTGTGGGCGGAGTCTTCCTCATGTTTGAATCTGATCAGACAACAGCTCCCTCTCTGCTTCTCCAGGTGGATGGTCTGAAGGACGGTCGGGCCACACTGCCAGAGTCCCTGCCCGTCCCCCTGCAGGAGGGAGGGGAGCTCCGCTGGGCGGCCGAGTTCATCTGTTTGAATGATCAGAAGCTGAAAGAGTTGAGTGATGGCTGGGACCGGCCCGAGCTGCCCCCAGAGGTTCTGCTGGAGGTTCTGTGCCTCGCTGTGCAGGGACTCAGCCTGATGCAGCCCACAGCAAACCCTTAATGTCAGCTGCTGTGATCTTTGTTAACCTGTTTTCACAGCAGCGTTCTGCATCTTTGAACGTTTCTGCCATTGTTTCCTGAACTTTCATCTGTCAAAGATCAAAAATAAAAAGAATAATCTAATAATATATATATATATATTTTTAAATAAATAAAACTTCATACTTTTATGTTCGGCTCATGGTTTTAATATTTTATTAGTTTTTGCTGCACTCCTTTATGTTCTGTCCTGTTCCCTCCTCTGTGCCCCTGACCCTGTTTCCATGCTTGTTTACTGTTAGTTATTTTTACAATATTGATATAGAACTAATCTCTTGAAATATCATATATCAGATTTGGTACTTGAGAGACAAGAAAAAGAAGTGACAGCATGCAGAGAAGGAGGCTAAACACTGTGCCTTCTGCTCCAGAGACAGTCCTCACAAACAGGCGATAGAAACTGTAGGGTCAGAGTCTGGACTGAACCTTATGCCCTTTTTAAGAGGACTTTCTGTGTTTATGGTTTCATCCTGCAGATCTCCATCTGGAAAACGTTACAGTCATTTATTTTTCAACCATCAAAAAAACATTTCAGTCCAAGCAACCTTTAATGAAAGATTTAATTTATCAGACGGATTTTCAGTTCTGCTTTAGGGTTTCTCATTATTACTCACATTTTAAAACATTTACTTCTTGTGGCTTGTTGGAGTTTCCAGAGATGTGAGAGGAGACTTACCGGCGCCATCATGAGGAAAAATGCTGCATCTGCAATTCTGAAGAAAGTTGAACTCAATTTGAAACAGGATTTAGTCTACACATCTTAAAAAAACATACTATGCTAATATTTCTTATAATCAGGGTTGAAGACATGTAACATGTAACAGGAGACTCAGCGCTGCTGTAAGGTCGACACAACAGGTTCAGATCACTCTGTGGAGCTCATGTTAACGAAAGTTAAAACGCTGCTGTTAAAATTGATGAGTGGGAGTCTCATTTTCACCGTATACCTCGGGATTTTCCTGAAGTGATTTTGAAGTAAAACTTCAGTATATAAGGAAGTGAGAGCACAGTATGTAGATTTGCCCAACTTAAATACATTCTTTGTTTCACTTTTCTGAAGAAACAAAACAAAAACATTGTGTTGCTGCGTCACAGTTCAGCAGAACTTACAAGCTGCTGCATGCACAGTCATGTCCTTCAATGTTTGGACAGAGATTACCAGAGTAATCAGCAGTCAGTGACAGTTTTACTGAAGAATCTATTGTTTATAAAGAGAGAGTTTAAAAAAAGCAGTCTCACAGGTTCCTACAGGTTTTCTGTGAAGTTTTTTTGCTGTAAAATGAGCCAACAGGTTTTTTTGTTGCAGCGTGTTTACCGTCTTCAGCACACGCCCTGCTGCTCTTCACAGACACTGCAGCATATTTTCAGCTGAGAGACTCAAACACAGGCTTTGTGTTGTTTTCCTCTCTGGTTTTAAATCTGTTAAACGCAGAGTTTAAACTAAATTTTCTTTTTAGAAGAAGCTTCCTGCTGCTTTGTGGGACCTCCAGCTGTTGCACTCTGCATTGACCTGACCCTGACACGTGTGACTGTGCAGTGATTCATTGTCTGAACTGGTTTAGCTGTTGGGTGTGAAAATCTGCCGGAGGTAAGAAACTCTTTAAGATTCATGTTTCACGTTAACTTTGCTGTCAGGACACAGGCATGAAAAAGTTTTACATGCTTACAGCCTGATGAACAGTTCAAAATTATATCAGATCCATCTGCATGTATGCACACATTTAAACAGTAATCAAACAGTAGGTAAAGCATATTTGAGTGTATTGAACATCATATTTGGTTTTACATGCATCAGCTCTGCATAACATTGATTCTGCAGGTGATGAAGTTGGAGCAGATTTTATTATTTATAAAATCTCAGTATCTCAATTCTTGTCATCATATTCATTCGTATTACTAACAAAGTAAATGCCATAACCTTTATAACATGTTACTGGATAATCCCACAAAGAGAGCATCAAATGTGAAAAATATCTTATTTCTGCTCAGATGAGAAGTGATGAAGATCCTGTTTAGAGCAGTTTGTAAGTGCACCCCTGTATTAACATGCACATGCAGGAACACTAAGGAAAAGCAAGCAGATGTCATTTAGCTTCCAGCAATGCCATCAGTGAGATCATTACTGATTTTTTACTGCAGGAGTCAATACATGTAAAGCCATATTAAAAAAACAAACACAAATACATTTATTCCCAGACTCATTGCCTCTGACAGTGATACCACTGTGGGCTAAAACAAGGCGGTGGAAAATCTGCATACTGATGACTTTAACTTGTGAGATGATCGGGGTAAAAGGAGCATCTTGAAGAAGCTGAGTGGTTCAGAAGTAAAGACGTGCAGGCGATCAGCTCTGTGTGAGCAAATTCGCTCTGAATGACAAAACTACGGATTGTTATGACATCATCTTTTTGTTATAACCTCAGAAAGATTCAGAGACTTTTGAGTGTTGGTTATGTTGAGACAGCGCTGCATCAAACTCTCACTTGACTTTGAGGAGGACTTTTGAGGAGGTATTAACCTGGCAAACTTACTTTCAAAAAGTCGCAAAATCCTCAAGACTGGTGTGTAGCACAGATGCTTTCATTTATTTATTTTATTGTATTTATTCATGCACATATTCCATTATGAAGTCTAAGCAGAATGAGATTAATATAAAATATAAATCAGCTAATAAATTGTTGTGTGGTTTAGCTTCAGTGAATTAGCTCCAGCTGTGTTGTACACTTTAACTACTCAACGATGATATATAATTGAATTATTTTCATGAATAATATTTGTACTTTTACTTAAGTAAAATGTACTTTTACAGAATGTACATAAATATAGTATTATTACTTTTATATAAGTAAAGGATTTAGGTAACTACAGATATAACCACAAAGCATTCCAACTTAGCACACCTGTCACACAGCAGCTACAATCACTGTGTGTAATGTAGTAATAGGAGCCTTTAGATTTCCAAAGCATGATGCAACAGCTGTTTATCAGACACTAGTTCAGACCAATGAGCTACTTACCAAATGACAGCCTGTCACATCCTGCTCTCCAGTCCACTCCACAGTCTGTCTGTTCAGAGGACCCAAACATTATCTGGATGAAATATTACAGTGGAGCCTGAACCCACAGGGAGCTGAGTAATCTGGTGTCCATCAAAGTGACCCCGTCCTGCCTTAGGTTCCGCCTCCAAACTGTCAAAAGTAAATGTAGTCGTGCGAGCAGGATTTCTCTACAAATGCAGAAAGCGTGAAACTGTAGAGAAATGTAATTGCGCCAGCGAAATGAAATTATTTGCTTGGATTATCTTTTTGCTTGTGCATTTGTTATGACATATAATTCGTAGCAATGCATCAGGGAGGGCACCTGGTATGAAAATCTGCACCAACCATACAGACACCCCCTGAGTGTTTTAATCTCAGTTTCCCTGTTAATTCTTATTTGTTGATTATATTTTAACTGAGTCATCTGCTTTGACTGATGCATCTAAACCTGCCAAATAACTAGAAACTACTTTCCTCAAGATCTTGCTGTGCCATAAATGTAGGAAAAAAATGGAAATCTTCTGTGCTGACGTACAGAAATGTTATTCTTGTTTCCACAGAAGATGTTTGCTGCTGAAGCCAAAGCATTTGTCCAGACGCTGGGAGGAACAGACCTCATCTCTAATGATAACTTAAACTGTAAAATGGATCTACTGACTCTGGTCAAAGTCACTGAGGGAATTTTTTGGCCGGTACAGAAGTACAAAGTGATACACTATAGCCTGCCCGAGCTCACCGAGGAAGAAAACTTCTCTCCAGGTACGTTATCAAGAAACAAGGCGTTACTGAGTAACCATGGTTCTATGAAGGAAGGTGAGCTGTTTAGGAGACAGTTTAAAATTTACCCTCCATTGCCCCTGGTACTGGGAGCAAGAGGGCAAAGTTCCCGTTTAATCGTCTGTAACATGGACATGGTAATAAAAGTCCCGGTGTTCCGGCATACCATCCCATCATACATAATTTATGCACATTAATTCACACAATAATTCCAGCATAAATTTAAGTAGGATTGTTTACCACTTAACTTTACCTATCAAAGTATACTTGTAGTTCATATTCACAAAGATAGGATGGTTTGCAAGTTTCATCACAATGTGACAAAAATTCACCAAACCAGCCACAAAAGAAGATCATAATATTTTTGATAATCGACAATCAATAACATGAAAATCGGGCTTACCATGCTCGTTATTTCCAATGTGTAAACATCCATTTGGCACTACAGAATGTTTCCTTCCTTACTCCATCTTCCACAATGCCTCAGAGACGTTTCCGTTAAAAATCACCATTCTCTGCCCAGTTACAGACATTTGATTGTTACAGGGCAAGTGTTGTAATTTAGGGTCATGTGTATTTTTCACCTTGTAATTTCTAATTAGTGGAACTGACATGAACAATGCCACATTGCTGTGATTCATTTGGCTGAAACAATTCAAAAGAGATGTCAATCATGCAAATTGGCCAAAAGAAGCCGAAGCCACAGCCCCTCAGAATGTAAAGTGAAAACACATATTTCCAGATCTTGATTATGCACAGTAAAAAAAGACCCAGCACTGTAAAGCCTTGAATAGAAGGTTTCTAAGCCCACTAACCCTGCCACTCATGAACCTGTGTCTCCTAAACAGTTCACCCTCACTGAGCTGACCTGCATGACAGCATGCTGACCTCATATGAAACAGAAAAAAATGAAACCGAGTATGAAAAATGATGCTCCATTCTCCTGCCAGATTACACCGAGGAAGTCTTGGTAGAGGACTTTAGGATCACTACAGAGAAGAGTGGGAGTGGAGGTATAGGTGGAGAATGCAGTAATGTGGGTGAAGCTTATATTAATGCCAGCACTAGTTCTGTGGATGGACTGGTTCAGCCCGTCAGCATGATGACAAAGAAGGCCAATGTTAAAACTGTGGTGAGCAGATTCAAGGGCAGGTACGTCTGTCTTTTTGCTTATTTATTTATTTGTGTATTTTCAAAATAAAAGCTAATTTTTCCTCTGTGTTGGATCCTTTTAAATCCAGGAAAATACACAAGGATACCTTGAACCTGCTGGGACTGAAAGAGAAGGATAAACTGATGTTTGTCTCTCAAATAGTTTACAACTCCAGTCCTGTCAAAATTATTAGAAAGTCTACGACTGATGGCTCCATTTTCACTTCTTATGTAAAGATGCTGAGTGTCTTTGCAAAGGTGAGTGAGTGAATTCAGCGGTCTGCAGGGACAAGAGTATCTGTTTCTGATCTTCACATGCAGGAACCCATAGACTGTTTTAGGGCAAACCAAGACCTTGTAGGAGTCATTTCAGGGCCACTGTAAGGAGACAAACCTGCTAGGTGGGGCACTAAGGTAGTTTATTTGAAATTCAACAACCATGAACAGCAGACTTCTCTGACTGTTATAATCAGTACATAATATGCCAATGTTTTTGGTTTATTTACAGACATAGTGTTTGAAGCCTTTATCCATGTCTCATGTGTAAAGAGGGTTGGACACTTATTCTGTCACCCCAATGTTCCTTCAGGCTCAGTGAAGAAATGCAGACTAAACAAGGCTTAAAGCCTGGCACTGAACTTAAACCGTGGCTGGAGGTGTTATTTATCCTAGGTGGCACTGCAGGTCTGAACTTGTCCAGATAATATCTGGTGGAGCTGATTGTAAGAAGACACAGCTCACTGTGACTGGACATTAAACAAGCTTTAACCTGCAGGTTTGGTGGCATGTGAGAACAGTGCAGTAAAAGAGTGACATAGGCATGAGTGACAAAGAGCGATAAATACAACTTTCTACTGTTAAAGTGACCATGTGGGAACACTGAACATATAGAAACGATTTTGAAATGAGACCACTGATTCAAAACCTAAACAGAATTAAACTGAAACTAGAGTTAATTGATTTATTGAGAAGTATTTCTAGAAGTAACAGTTATCAGGCAATGTTTAGTTGTCTTTGATAAATGCATTTGTATGATCGGATCTAATCTTTAAGTGACATTTTGGTGCACACTCGATAAACTTGATGGGGTAATGCACCAATACGTTGTTTGTCAACCGCCAATAAACACTGAGCAGAAGGAGAAATCATTTGCAAATAGTCAAAATAGTTGTTACTTACTATAACTCCAGTTCTCTGACTATGTCTGTGGTTCGTGTGGGGTTGCCTGCTGTGGATCTGTTGCTGTCATCAGCTCCAGAACTCTCAAAGTCATAGTAAAGATTCTCTGACCTTGTCTCCCTCTCGTTGTGATTGTAAAGATGTATTATTGGTCTAAATAATAATAATAATATTGTATTTCTTCAGGGGAGCAGTAAGGCGGAGACAAGCTTCACTGTGCCAGCAAAATCCATCTTTGCTTATAGCCTGGTGGAGATAAAGATAGAGAATGAGAAACTGAGTAAGAGCACAACACTGTGTTTAATGTGTGTGTGTGTGTGTGTGTGTGTGTGTGTGTGTGTGTGTGTGTGTGTGTGACTGAGTAGTCTTTCTCTTTTTCTCTCATTTAGAGATCTCATGTGAGCCGTGGACTCGTAGTTTACTCGGTAGGTCACTGGGTGTCTGAACTTTTCTTCTTTTGCAAATTTGAAAATTTTTTTTTGTCATATTTGTATTTACAGTCGCACTCACAGTTACTCAATGTTACTAAGAGAAAAACATCTGTATCAAACTGTAAACCAAAGACGACGGAGCATCGAGCTTTCACTTTAGACTGCTGAGTTTATTCAGTTTATTTATTCAACATCAGAGTTAAAATCAGACACTTTCCAGATTGAAATGCTTACATCAGTAAAAAAAAAAAAAGTCCTTATGCTGTTTCGCTCTTTGTCATAAATCCCTCCTTTTCCTGTTCAGGTGAACATTTCAACCAACCACGATTAGACCTATGCTTAGTGTCATCCTCATTGGACTGTGAGCTTTGTTTTTTTGGGTTGTTTTTTTTTTTTTTGGTTCCACACCAAAAATAATTATGAATAGCCAAAAAACTTCACAGACAGACACAAAGGTGCTCACATTTCATTATCCCAGGAGAGAGTGCTCTCTACACAGAGTCTGTACCTTCAGAGTTTTACTTTCTGCAGATACAATTTGCAGGAAATAACCAGCAAACATTTTAATGTTGAAAACCAACTGACTGTCTTTCAGTGTCTTTTTGAACGGTACCTAGAGGTCTTTTTTGGCGTTCCAGTAGGAGGTAGCTAGTGTGGAAAAATTGCTTGAAAAATTATTGAAGAAGAAGAAATTAAAAATACTGTCAAGAACTTCTCTGGATGCATTGTGCTTAGTATAAAGTTTGATGGAGCGAGTATTATGGTATTCGGCTGTTTTTCAGCAGCATGGCCTGGCACCTTAGTTCCAGGGAAAGGAAGTGTTAGTGCGTCAACATAACAAGACATCTTGGAAAGCTTCCTACTACCAACTTTGTAGAAACAGTTTGGGGACAGCCCCCTCCCGTTCCAACATAAATGCGCACAGTAGGTCCATAAAGACATGGATCAGTTAGTCCGGTATGGAAGAACTTGACTGGCCTGCACAGAGTTCTGATGTCAACACGATAGAAAACATTTTGGAAGAATTAGAGCAGAGTCTGTGTGTCAGACGTTCTTATTGAAAACCTCTGTCTGACTTCACAAATGTGCTTCTGGAAGAATGGGCAAAAATTCCCATAAACACTTTTAAACCTGTTGAAAGGCTGAGAAGAGTTGAGAGCTTTTTTATCTGTAAAGGGTGAGTCGACATCATAATAAACCCAGTGGATTAACAATGGGATGTCACATGCGTGTCATGTCAGACGAGTGACTTTTGGCAATAAAGTATAGTTATTAGTTGAATATCACTAATAAACAAAGAGTCGGTCTGTCCAGACTTTTATTGTAAAATGTGTGTTTGTCTGTGGTTCAGTTTTGTAAGAGTAAAGACTTTCAGAGTTTCTGGTGATAATCATTTTGAGATCTGTTTCCAGATTGGCTCCTTTGTGATGACGTAAGCAATCCAACTGTGAAAAAAGTAAAAGAAGGTAAGTGTGTGTTTAAATCTGCTGAGCTCTTCACAGTTCTGAAATAATCAGTTTGTTATCTTTAGAGATTTAAGACCTGCTGTTTAACAAACTGCTGGTTCCAGCACAAACTCTGTTTTCATGTACTGACAGTGTGGTCAGCTAGTTGCTGCTGTTTCTTTGTTTGCTGCAGAACTAGAGATGAAGGAAGATCTACTGCAGCCGCTGGCAGATCTTCCTGAGTCGACCCGTTGTGATCTGCTGCAAACACTCAGCGAGCTCGTTGAGGATGGAGACAATCTCTCTCTGCTGGATAAAACAGTAAGGAGAATATTTACAAAAAGCTCCTCATCAGGTTTCATCTCTCACTGACGTCTTTATCAGTTAATGCAATGGTGGAAACTTCTCTCTTACAGGCAGATGGACAGCAGGCCTGTCTTATTTTTTATTCGTTTATCTGAACAAAGAACAGACCTGCTGATTGTATTTGTGATCTTAAATCAAGCACAGCTTTAGTTCAGGTACACCACGCTGCCAAGCTGTGTGTCACTTTCCTCCCATCTGGAAGCTGCTCTGTAGCCCACCCCCAGCTCTTGCTTTCTACAAATGTATGCTCCAGAACAAGACTATTAACAATAATATTAATAATAATCATAATCCTCTGCTCCTCTCAGCTGGATCATTGCAGTAATGGAGTGTTTGAGTGTGAGTCTGAGGCTGTCTCTTCCTTCATGGACCTTCTCAATGTCTCAAACATCTCCACAAGTGAGCAGAATGCTGTTCATATGTTGGTCAGCGCTCTGCACAGTAAGTCAGATTCAAAGATTCAAAGTGTTTATTGTCATCTGTACAAAGAAAAGCATTTCTCTGTGCAATGAAATTCTTTCTTTGCTGTCCACACACAGATGCCCAGTTAGTATATACAAATAGAAATAGAACAGATAAAATACAAATAGTATAAATAAATAAATGAAGACAAAATTTAAGAGTGAAATAAATGTGTGTGCAAAAGAGCTATGAGCTTAATATGCAAGATGACCTGATGTGCAAAAAATAGTATTACTGTTGAAATAGGTCAGCTGCTCAAGAGTCTGATGGCAGTGGGGAAGAAGGAGTTGTTGAATTGGGATGTTCTGGATTTCACACTTCAACCTTCGTCTCGAGGGCAAAAGTGTGAACAGTCCGTGTTGGGTGTGTGTGGGGTCTTTGAGGATGGAGGCAGCTCTCCTTTAGACTCTGCGATGGTAGATACTCTGCAGAGAGGGCAGTGGAGTCCTAATGATATTCTTGGCAGTTGTTATCACTGTCAGCAGGTGTTTGCGGTCCATAGCAGTAGTGCTGCCGTACCATGCAGAGATGCAGCTGGTCAGTGTGCTCTCCATAACACAGCTGTAGAACCTGCTGAGGATCTTGGCTGACATACCAAATTTCCTCAGCCTCCTTAGGAAATGCAGCCATTGACCAGCTGTGTGGTGTTCAGTGTCCAGGTGAGGTCCTCACTGATGTAGACGCCCAGGTACTTAAAGCTGCTCACCCTCTCCACTTCAAGTCCCCTAGCTTGAAGCCCCGGATAAACTTCAATTAGGAGACTTGAAGTGGAGAGGGTGAGCAGCTTTAGGTACCTGGTTAGTGAACCGAGTCAGATGACCCGCTCTGAGACATTTATCCCATCCAGTAACATGTAGATCCTCCACATGAGGTGTGGTATGTGAGCTCAGGTGTTATTTGGGAGTGTGTGAGAGCTCAGCTCACAGTTTTATTGACACATCTGAAGCAAAGTGTTTCAGTTCATCACATCGTCATCAAACTTTGTCTTTCTTCTTCATGTTTGTGCAGCTCTGCCAGATGAAGTGCCGCCACTTCTGACCCGCTGCAGTCCAGACACTCTGAGAGTGCTCAACCAGCTGGTGGGTTCATTCACTCATTCATCTGCATTCATCTACATGCTCCTCTCAACAGCTGCCAGCCTCATCACACCTTATCCTACAGACTCAGCACACTGAACATGTGTAATCTGACACCTTAAAACAGCGGTCCCCAACCTTTTTTGCGCCATGGACCGGTTTATGGCCGACAATATTTTCATGGACCGGCCTTTAAGGTGTCGCGGATAAATACAACAAAATAAAACTAGTACCGGTACCGAAAAAAGGAAGATTTATTCATAACACACGTGAAAAGACCAAGGAAAACCGAGTAAACGATAAAAACGATAACAAAATAACGCTGAAAACAGATAAAAACCCTGAAACCATACATTTCACACCTGAGCCTCACTCTCGCGGCCCGGTACCGGTCCGAGGCCCGGGGGTTGGAGACCGCTGCCTTAAAACATCGTCTATCATGTTTTTGTAATGAAGAAGAATAAACTAAAACTAAACAGAAAATCCCACACGTGTAAAAGCACATCAACAGCAGCTCCGCCCACTATCAGCAGCCTGTGGGCGGAGTCTTCCTCATGTTTGAATCTGATCTGAGAACAGCTCCCTCTCTGCTTCTCCAGGTGGATGGTCTGAAGGACGGTCGGGCCACACTGCCAGAGTCCCTGCCCGTCCCCCTGCAGGAGGGAGGGGAGCTCCGCTGGGCGGCCGAGTTCATCTGTTTGAACGATCAGAAGCTGAAAGAGTTGAGTGACGGCTGGGACCGGCCCGAGCTGCCCCCAGAGGTTCTGCTGGAGGTTCTGTGCCTCGCTGTGCAGGGACTCAGCCTGATGCAGCCCACAGCAAACCCTTAATGTCAGCTGCTGTGATCTTTGTTAATGTGCTTTTACAGCAGCCGATGCTTGTGATGGTTCAGTGTCCAGTCAGGTGAATACAGCATAGTTTTGATGTCCATGGTTGATTCAACAATTGGTGAACTTTATTTCAATGTCTCACTCTGATTTTGTTTCTTGTTTCACTCTGTCATCTTTCAAAGAGACAAAAAGACAAAAATAACCAACAGAATTCACATTTTATTAAAGTAACATACCTTTATTAAGTTATTTACATTATTGTTATAGTTTATGTCATGGTTCCTGTAATTTGATGGTTTTCTTGGATTCTTTGTGTTTGCAGACCCCACTTTAATCATCTGGTCTCCAACCTCTTCATGTTCATTTTGAGTTTTCTTTTTAATAAGTTCTTTATAAATATTTTTTAAATTCCTGGTTATTAAAGGTTTGAAATTATGTGAGGGAACAAGTGGAACAGTTTTTCAATTAGAATAAAAAAAGAATGTTTAAAAACATGAATGATGATTAAGGCTGGAAATAAA